TTTGACGCCGTCGCTACTCCCGCGCTCCGGCAATGCAAAATTATAACTGGATCGTAGGGGAAAATTATACAGAACTAGGCTTCACGCGGGAGACTGAATGCACGAGGTAGGAAACCGCCACGGAGATCTGGAGAAGACAAAAAGTCGCTGAGAGATACGTTTCGAAAGAAAGGCAGAATTCGCCGAGAGTAACGCTTCGAGCAGAACTGCGAAAGTCGCCGAGAGTTACATACGGGTGATGAGTCGATAACATTGATGGCAGCACAATAGCGAAAAACAAAAGTCGCCACGCTAATTGTTCGGCATTTCGAAGTCTGATACAACACCACAACTGTGGCACGAATACGACTGCATCGCGCATCTTTGACGACGCCATACGAGAAAAGGAGAATCCGGCCTAGCAGCTGACCGCTTGGCTCCACGGTCAGCATCACCACCCCGTCGCCTTCCGACCTTCAGGGCCATCGACTTCTCAAAAGGCGCCGCGCCCCCTGACCGCCTCCCCTATAACAGAAATGAACGTTTCCAGCCTGTTTACAACACGACCACAGAATCAACGGCGAGTTCTTCCTGTGGCGACCGTCCTCTAACAAACTCCATAGAAACTGAAAGTAATGTAAGCATTTTTGTAATCACGAGTCGAGTCACAGTAAATTCATTGAAGTGATAAGAAAATTGAGGAATGAACTAGATAACCTCAAGAAAGAAGAAACATCGTAATGCATGATAATTGCTATTTGTTTGTAATGTAGAAAAATAAATAAATCAGAACATCAAGCAATTTGCACTGAAAAGCCATTGTAATAGTAGTTAGAGCATTTCAAGAATAAACTGTGTGCTTCCTTTAGGGCTCACGTTGAAATAATTTTTGATTTTCATTCAATAGAGCATGTTGAGCACACCTGATTAACGGAAACTAACCCAGAGAGCCTTCACCCTGAAGATAGTCTCATCTCATCGGAACCTAATCTCACAAAGATTTTCGACATCGTCGAAAATCGGTGTGACAGGTAAGTCAGTTGACTCGCCCGCCAAAATATGCTTTGTTTGCCGATGACACGAATGTTCTTTGCATAGAAGAAACAGTAAATAGTACAATTTCAGAAGTTTCAAATTGGTTTCGTTATAACAAATTAATAGTTTACGAAGGAAAAACGGTTTCAACGCATTTTTGCATCACAAACCGGACACTATATTTAAAACGAACAATATGCAATAGCTGCTGTTAAAGTAACATTTCTAGGTATCTCAATTCAATCAAACCTCAAATGGAATGTACATATAACAGAGTTAAACACTAAATTAAGTTCATTTGCATTTACGCATTCAGGATTCTTTCAAATTCTATCAGCCTCCATGCAGGTCGTTGCGTGTATTCTGCAAATGTACGAGGATATTCCCGCCTGAGATATGGCATATCTGAGGAAGCTCATCCTGTAGTACCGAAAGATTTAGATTGCAAAAGAAAATTATTTGAACAATGAAAAAATGCATTACACGTGATCCCTGAAAGTCTCACTTCATTGAGCTTGGAATCTTACCATTGCCGTGCCTATTTATTTACGACTCTGTAATATTGTCAAATCTGACTTACTTAACGGTGGGAACATATTTTCTTGCAATACTGATATTTATATTTACAACACACGTCATAGTAATCACGTTCACCAAGTTTCCGAATCAACGGCTCACTACAAGAAATCCACATACAATACATGTACGTTACTTTACAACGCATGGACAGATGTCATTAAACAATTAAAATCGGCACACAAATATAAGTTAAAAGTAAAATGCTTTCTGCCGCATAACTGTTTCTATACAATTAGAGACTATACGGATCATCAAAAAGGAAAGTAATGCTAATTTTAACAAAACAATGATTTATAATAAATTAGTTTTCATTTGTATTGTATATTTTTTTAAACGACTTAATATGCTTGTAGAAAATAATGTACTTCAACTTCCGGGTGAATGACCCATATCTCGATCTGGTTTTCGTCTAGTTTCCCTGATCCATTGAACAAATGCTAAGATGGCCCCTTGTTTTGCTTTTGGACATAAATGCAGCTTCACTACGCGCACGATTTGTTGAACTCTCCATTTACTTGTAGTTGTAGGAGTAGAGGTAAGTGCGACTTACTATTGTGTTAGTAATGCAGAAAAGTCAAATCTGCAGACAAATAAACTTTCTGTAACTCGGGAACAAAAATCTATATTTTTTTAAATATTGCTAATTTTAATTTTTTTATTTTTATTTTTTACTTTTACTCATCTTGCAACTACTGATCATTAAAATGATAGGAAGTGATTCTGGAACTCAAGAAAGCGTGCGTAGATGATCTTCTCCCCATACAGTTTCTTCTGTCTTTTTTTGAGTAAATAAATCTAAATAGAAATATAAAATATTTTAATAGAAGAATACAGCTTTTCACACAATTTTATTAAACATAACGTTATTTAAACAATGATATTTTAATTTTTTATAAAACTTTAATTTTAAATTGTCATAATTGTTTTTTTTATTTTTACCCCACAAATTTTCTCCTTATCTCCATAAAATATCCGACGTTCCACCTCTGACAAATACTAATAACGAAACTAAGTGAAGAAATAACTTTTCTCGCCCAATGCAAGAAAATTGCATTGCATTAAATTGGCAGAAGAATAAATCAAATGCCCTCTAGACAGCATCATTATCCTATTATATAGAACGATTTTCTTAAGAATGGTATTAAGTGACAGTTCGCGAAACAAGTGAACATCACGTGTACTTCAGAGAAGTAAACACGTGCACCGTCACGAGTACGCATCTCATAATTAAGACTCGGTTTTAAAACAAACATAATACTTATCACATAAAAAATAAATTCAATGTAATGTTTATCAAAAGAAAGAATTTTTACAGAAGAGCACAAAGCTCTGCACTTACTAATTTCAATTATATTTTGTGGCGCACTATATTTTCGTCGGACGAGGGCATCACAGCCAGGGAGCGACGTAAATATTTACAAGTTAGCCAACTGCAAACGAACGAATGGGGGAAGTATAGTCTAATAAGTTCAAGGACAGAACGACCACAGAATCGTCAGTTGTGTTGCCAGCACTAGCTGTCAAATCATTCCATTCTAAACAAAATCGGACAATATTGAACGGTCTTTGAGATTTCCAATTCTGATGTTGGTGTGCCAAGTTCAGGATTCTGAGTTGTAAATTTATATGCAATAAATCCGGTTATGTATTTTAATCATTATTTCATTATAGAAGAGAAGAATATTTCGAGTTATAGAATATCGCCAGAATTGCAAGCATTTAATTCTGAGTAACCTAAATTTTAAAGATTGTCATCAATCAAAAACTCATTTAACTAATTTTTCTCTGAATTGTGAAAATGCTCCAGTAATTGTTATATATCTACTGTGGAACTTGGCATGTTTTCTGTAATAAGTTATGATAATTTACTCTCTGATTCTCAATTAGACATCTGTCGTTCCACTTGTCTACAGTATTTGTCCAGAATATTTTCCCAACAAGGGTGATAGATAGGTTATAGGTAACCCAAAATTATATTGCTGTAGCCTTTGTATGAGGTAATGAAACGCATTTTGTATTTTATTAAATGATTACTGCATACAAAACAGCGCAAATACCTATATTTGCGCACAAACACAAAAGCCAACCAGAGATGTTACATTAACAATGCCTGGGACCTAGTGACGTCACCTGCGCGAACTAAACGCTTTCCGCACGACCTAAAGTGTATGGATCTTGGTAAAGACTAAGGCTTGATTTACAATGCAAACTTAAACGCAGACATAACGTAGCCACAAAACCAAGAAATAAGTTAAGTGAGATCCTGTACAATGCCTCAATGTAACCGTAGATGTAAAGCCGTAAACCTAAGAGTTCACAAGTACCAAGCTTTTACGTTAAGTTTACGTCGGAATTCTACCAACGACCACTCAGAGAGGAGCATGAAAGAAACAAACAAAGTGTGTTTCAGATAGTTTGTGTTTATGTCATTTCATTACTGTTAATGTACTGAACTAGTTTGCGAACTGTTTTGACGCGAGTAGTGAATTCAAAACAGGAATTCGGGCCATTGTTCTTGTGACTTTAACTTGAAGTGGCGAATAAAATAATTTACGTGTGGTGAATCACTTGTGAATTTGGAATATGAGACTCCTTGCTAATAAAGTAAAGGAAATGAGTGCACTTATACAACTGCTACTCGCATTTATATATAAAGACAAATCGATAGGAAAATCGACGAGAAAGCTAGAAACCATAGTGGAAAGATCTTTTCAACGATTCGACAATCGATTCAGCTTCAATACCCTGAAATCTGATTGGCTCAGGCGAAACTTTCGTTCTAGCTTACGTTCGTCATTGTGAATGCTTGCTCAACTTTACTGCTAAGTTTACATTACGTTACGTTTAAGTTTGCATTGTGGATGAGGCCTAATAGAGATGTCCAGAACACGTGACATTTAATAGTTCGGAGGGCAGCACCTTCACCTCTAGGTGGCAAGCGGAAATTTCATAGAAGCCGTGATCTTATGGACAAAACACGACGTAAATGTCGATTTTCTTTTAAAACGTCGTGGTCATTCTTCATTGAAGGTTATGAACATGTACGATAAATTACGAACCTTTCTAGGGGCTGTGTTTATGAACCTTCATCAAAAAGAAAAGTTATCGACTCGATGTGTGTTGATAAAATAGTGCTTTTTTAAATCGAATTTGTCGTCGAAATTCGCAACAAGAGTCTCAAGAAACCGAAACAAAGCAAATTTTATGAAAAATAACAAACATGATAAGTCACAAGCACCTCGGCAACCGCATAATACAGACAAAATCTTAGTACTTCTGTAGGAATCTCTTACACTCATAAGCGTGATCACCCAACACTTTCCCGCCAAATGTTGTGACGTCATTCTGGACATTTCTATACAGTACACAAATCGTCCACTGCCGACACTAGCGTCCCAGTCGGTACCCGCGGAAGTGCCCAGCAAAAGTGCTCGTATATGTTGTATATAACTACTCTTACGAGTAGATGGCCATGGTATAAAAATATTATTCGGATCCGTGGGGGTGTGTACGTGTGTATTTGTGTGCGCGCATATATGCGTATTATGTATCTTTTGCCGGTCGATTATCTATTGTAGAGTGTGTACATATAATTTGCCCTAATATTGTGGATGTATGTGTAGATTTGTAATACTTGGACATTAATTGTGTGCAGCCGAAGTAACTCCTTATGACTTAAGGGATTGGGAGATATTCTGATAGTCCTCACGGTATGTATGAATGTATTTTGTGTTTTATTTTATTCGCGTGTACATCATAATTTGGTATGAAGAACATTGCATGGGAATGCATGTGAATTGAGTGTACTTTTTTTTACCAACTTAACTGTAACCTCAACATTGTCCAGGGCTCTGTGGCTTTTAAATCTTTGAGAGTTAACTGCAAAAAGGGTTTATTTTATCAGTTGAAATTGTTTATTGAATATAATTTTGATGTATGTAATAGTTAGGAAAGAATATTTTGAATTGTGCTAAATTTATACCCAGTTATGATAGTTTGAAATTTACTGCAGTGACATATGTACATGTATTTTGTCTTACAATTTTTTGTTTATTTGCTATAATAATTCTGTTGGTTATCGGTTCTTGATGTTTTATAATCAGAAAGATGATTACATGGATCTTTTCATTAGAATTAGAAATTTAATGGACTTTATATTTCTTAGCTAAAATTAAACTGTCACTAAACTGCATTGATATTTTATTTTGAAATATTATTTCCAGCGTTTGAAATTTGATTTTGTGTTGGTTTTGTTGTCCAAAATTATGTAAAAAAAAAAATGTTTTTCTGAATGTGATATCATCTAGTTTGTCATTGTGTATCTGAATGTGTACGTATGTTTGCTTGATAATTTCTTCTTGTTGCAGAATGTAATTGCAATATGTAGCTGAAGTTGAAAATTGTAAAACGGTTGAGGCTAACTTAATTTCTTCTGCACAGTGTTGGCTCTATGAGTTTCCATTTCAAGATTGTAGAAAATTATTTCAGTTAACGTTTGTGATGAGTGGCTATCTTAGTTAATTAACTTCTGAAACTTAAGTTTGTGAAGAATTGATATTTCTGAAAGAATTATTTATGCACTACGTAGTAATTTTAACTTACAAAATAAATGTTTCCATTTTAATATCAGTTTAACTTAAACAAATTTGTTTCGTTTCAACCACTTAATTCAAAACACTGATAAATAATATCGAAGACTGATTTCTTCTAAGTAAACACTAAACTTAACCAAGTTATGGTATTAATTAATGAGAATATAAAGCATCTAGGGTTTTATTTTTGGAAATTGTTCATATGTACGTGAATAAGTGTATATACAAATATATATGATATAGATATACATACATATCTACCTACAGTAATACTTGCTTTGTCTGAATCATGTATAATGCAGAAATCTGCCCAATGTGAACATAAACTGCAGTCCTGTCAGTTGTAAATTTTACAGTAGAACATCGTATAATGTGTGTGTGTGGGGGGGAAACCCTGATCCCTTGAGATTCCACATTGAACAAGTTTTAATGTATATGTATACTGCTTATAAATTGAATTGTATTGAAAATTCGTAGATATGATAAATATTGAATAAAACATGCTAGTGTTTTTGTTCAGGTCCAAGGTAACAGTACTGAATGAGTACAGGTCACTTAAAGCTGACAAGGATAATTGTTTATGAAATAAGCATTCTAGTAGTTAGTGGGTGTTACAGTGAGGTGGCAGTGATAGTTCAGATCTTAGTTTGAGATGACAAGTCTAATTAATTCCAATCCAGTGATTTATGTTGATTTAGACAGACATAGGATTTGGTTTGTGTACTTGTTTACTGGTTTCCCTGGAAATCATACAAATTGTTTAAGATAATTTTTTTTGTTCTTTAGTCAATTATTCAAAATGAGATTGCTTTATGATATTGGGGTATTAGGATGTTAACGAAAAAGAATTGGGAAGTATCCTGTGTGTTCATTACCTTAGTTGAGTCTAGATCAATATTTGGGGACTTGTTAGGTTTAGCTTCTCAAAAATGTGATAGCACCTGAGGATGACAGTGTTGTCAACCTCAGGTTTTGATTATAATTTTGTAATCTGTATATTGTGTTAACAAGCAGAAACTGTCATAAACATGGGGTCTTGTTTTCTTAATCTAATATGTCCAGGAGCTAATGTTGATAGGTGTCAGCTTTAGGTTCCCAGTGTATCCATTTTAGGAAACATTTAAATTAATGAGAAATTTAGGAAATATGGGATCCCAAAACATTCTCAATTCAGTAAGGACTCTCTGGAGAAAGCAATAGATGCTGGAAATAGGGGGAGAAATTGTATTGGAGCAGCAAAGGAGTTAGATCAGATATGTATTTAGTAAAACATATGATGTAAAAGAAAAGTAAATAATTTGTGATATCCAAACAACTTTGTATACTTGAACTGATATCATGTGTGTTCTGTTTAACATTAAATTTTATCATAATCATTAAAAATGGTAATTTACTGAAATTTACTTTTTTATCATGACTTCTGTAGGTTCCTTACATGTCTATACATTTCAGCTTCAGTAACCAGTTACAATCAACCTGTCAGGTTGGGTGACGTAGCATAGTGTTAGTTTCTCTTTTCTAAAAAAAATAAATAAAGAAGAAAAAAAATAGTGGAGAAATTATTTATTACAGAGAAATATATTTAAACTTTTCAAGAATCCAACTAAATCTGAAAAGAAAGGTTGTTGTAAATATTTTGATGAAAAAGAAAAGGGATAAATAAGAGATAGGATAACTCCACATTTTAAGAAACAGAAGACGCACAGGAATTCATGACCACATATTTTCTACATTCCTTAATTGTTAAGGGAATGGTCAGGAAGTGAGAAGCATATTCTTTCATCAGGATCGTGAAATCAGAACAACATAGTTTACAATGAAATTGCCTTATAACAATCCAGTTATGGATAGTAATACCAGTGTAATACCAGTGTTTTGAATATTCACAATGTTAATAGAAATAAATATGTTATATAATATAGACATTATTTTCTTCAGACCAACTCATCTTGCACAAAGATATGGAGAATGGGTTCCCATGACTCCCATTCTGTCTTCCCAGAACCTCACAATCTGCCCTCAGTCTTAACAGGCGTACGTGATAAGAAACCCTCTCACACACACAGACTAGCGTTTATAAGATTTTGAATATCCACTTACACTGGTTGTTAGCCTTAGTGGTTCAACTTATGAAAACTAAGTTAATCTGCAAATGCTTAAGACCCTAAGTGATCAATATAATATCATTCATTTCAGCTTTAAGCTGATATGAAACATCACATCTTGCCTTCTGATCATTTCCTTTTATTTTCTATTTAATCCTCAAAAAACACTACAAACTATGTGACTTATGGAGAAGTATCATATGTAGATGTATTCTTTGGATGTAAGTACTTACCTATAAAATTGGACCCTGGAATAGTCTTCCAGGGGCTGAAAAATAAGACCCAGACTGAACTTAGAAGAGGTGATTTCGTCTGATTGTTTATATGTTGTGAGGAAGGCCATCTAGTGAACACATCTATAGAATACATTACAGTAGATGAGATGGGCTCTCCCTAGTTCCTGTCGTAACTGATAGTCATGCATTTTTTCTTAGATAAGATTTAGTGTCAATTTCATGATAAACCATCTTTTAAGAAGTAAATAACTTAATTATGTCTATATTGAAAGATTTTGTTCTAGTGATTTCTGTATATTTTTCACAATTAAGGTTGACATGGACTCCAAAATTCCTTCTCAAGACATGTATAGCTCAACAACATGGTGATCAATCCATTAACATCAACTGGTAGAGTAAATCACAAACGTTTAACTAAATCTCAGGACTCATCTTATCAGGTGTGGCTTGAAAATCAATGTGATATTGGCACTCAAGTATAGAGCTGTTAGCTTGAGCGACCCTTGATATCATTCTAATAATTTATTTGAATTTAAATACATCTTACTTCCCAACAAACTTCACAAGAGACTAATACAGTCCATTTTATATTTATAAATAAGCTTTTCATGACAATAATACTAATGTTTGGAACAATTTTAAGTGAGTAAACCGGTTTTCTGTGCTCATTCTATACTTTTAGAGGAGACGGTTATTTAATATGGGAAAACTTACTTCACTCCCACATATACATAAATCGCTCTTGCATATTATGACCAGAACCCACCCAATATTTTTCTCATGCGATACATGTTTAGTGTCCAGCCATTTGATGTTTTCTTATAAATAATTTTTCATTTATACTGAACATAAAATGTATTTTTATTTCTTGAATTATAGTTAATATTTATAATGTATCAATTAATGTATTGAATGACTTTCCTTAGTACAGACATTTCTGTAAAAGCAGTATTTTTTAATGTGTCATTGTCTTGTGTGTGTGTGTGTGTGTGTGTAGGAGGGGCTAAAGCCGCATGTCTCCTTCCCCCCTAGGTGTGCCATTGCATACATGTGCCTGAATTGAGAGAAAGAAAAAAGAAAAACAATTCGGAGATATTTTATTTTCCTTCTTTACTTTCTTGCCTTACAGTGTACAGTGAAAAAGTGTAGTAATGCTGCAGTGGATATAGGGCAAAATGTCTGTGTGGAATGATAGTGCCTGAATGGATCAAACGGGTATCTTCAAAATTGATATTTTCCAATCTAAAGCAGCACCTTTTTTTGGATTGCCCTCTTTCAAAAGAATGATTTGCTTTATCGACCCTCTTGGCATTTTCTATAATATACAGCATACAAGATAATCATAACACAAATATTTACATATAAATTATTTTTTAACAATTAGACAATGAATTGTTGAACAAAAATTTTAAAACAATTATTAGGTTTAGATTTTATTCGGTTTTCTATTAAACTTTTAGAAATTTGACCATCTGTGTAGATCTTTTGAACCTTCTTATAAGAAAGCAACTTCATTTACATATTTTTTTGTACTCAATAGGATCTTGATTATACTGGTTGCTGGTGCATGTTTGGCTATCTCCCAATTGACCTTTTGATCATTGACCCTCTTTAAAATTTTGTTGACCCCATTGGGAACCACTAATTGAAAAGAACGTGAGACCCTGCGAGGTTGGAAATGCTTATTTTGATATTGGTGGTACACTTTACAATAATGAAGTCTCAACATTTCAGTCTTTTTTTCTACCCTTGTTCTTCAATGATGGTACCAGATTCT